TGTGCACAGCTGCCTGCTTCGCGGAAAAAAAAATGTGGGGAACAAGGCCCATGCCGTGTGGACCGTATTTGCGAGATTCGGCCGACCATTTTTTATTTTTGTTCGGCGCGCCTGTTTCTGACTGGTCCGCCTGTGCGTCGGCGGAGCTAGCTGGCAGCTACAGGACTCCTACGACGGCTCCGCCGGGAGCTCTCCGAGCGGCAGCTCTGCGCTTCTGCGCCGTCGCTGGCGTCGCAGGGCCGAATCGGCAGCTCCAGCAGGCTCTGCGCATGTGCGCGCAGGGCAGCGAGCGCTGCGAGTGGGTCCAGCGGCGCGTGAGCGCGGCGATTGCTGCGGCCCGCGCCCACGGGACCCGATCCCGGGCGCGAGCGCGCTAGCCGGCGGAGCAGCGCGACTGCTTGGCGATCGAAGCGGCCGCCGACCTCCAGGCCGAACACATTTTGGCAGGTTTTTTTAGGGATTTGTTGGTTGCAGGCGTTGCTACTGCTGCCGTTGCAATTGCTGCAATTTGGCTCAGATTGGCTAGCGGGGTTTACTGGGTTGGGTCACCGATCATTTGCCCAGCTGCTCCGCTGCTGCAATGGTTCAGGACAATATGACGCAATGTTTGTGTTGTATCTGCCGCTGAGGCTCTTCAACATGGCTTCCCGCAAAGCGCATGGCGCTAAGGCTTGAAGCCGCTTCGGAAACGTGTCGGCCTGCATGTCATTCATTCAGTTATGTTCCCGTGTTTCGCATGTGCTTGAGATTTTGTACAGATGTCATCTGTCATGCGTTGTCGATCAATCATGAGCGCAACCTGCTGCATTTGTGCGCAGCTCTAGACCGTATTCAGTTCCTAAAAGCAAGTTCTCTAAATCTGCATGTGCACCATACAATAATAGGGACTTGGTGATTAATGCTAGGAGCCTTGTTATTATGCATGATTTCGAAGCTACGCGTGTCCAGTCAAGAGCACAAAAATGCCGTCACGCAATCCCCATATTCATGAATGGAATGGAGATTGAAACGGGAGAGAGAGGCAATGCCGTATCGTTTCGATGCACACATACGTTGGCGGTTGTCCCGAAGCATCAAGGAGCCATGTGGCAAAGAGGCGTTTTGGAAGTCCACATCGCGATCGGATAGTTACGGGGTATGTGGTAATTGTTGCAACATGTTTGAATCCGGGTGGCAAAACACCTGAAGCAACCCGACAAATAGGGTGCTTGAGCTCTGCCCGTTGGTTGCGGCTCAGGTCTTTCATGGTGGGTGCTGCCATGTTTGCGCTGTGCTGGTGGCAGAGTTGGCATGCCAGCATCGTAAGCAAGAGCCGCCTGACATTTGTGATAGAGTGGCAGTGTAGACGTGATTCCACATGGTGACAAGAATGAAAGTTTTAACTGACAGCCGTTTTAGAGGCTAGAGGCGTAGAACTCGTTTACCACGTATTGCAATGTGAACACACAAGCTGCGTTGGGCACCTGGAATGCTGCCGCAGTTCCGGCCAAACCAAGGTGGGGTCCCTCGGTGGAGATTTTGTCAGGTTGCTTCAGCAGGAATTTCAATCCACAATTGCGAAGGTTTGGCAGAGCACGTCGCCGCGATCGATCTCAATCAAGCTCTGGAGGCATTTGTTTTGGCATGTACATTCTGTCACGACGTCCACGGTAAGGTGTACACCGAGGAAGCCAGCAAATGCCCGGCACGTAGCAATGCACACGATGTCTTCATGCGTTGTGGAGATACGTAGTGCCTGCGAGGATCCATTCCTGCATGTGCCTATGCTCGCAAAGGTTCCACCGGCGAGCCGCTGTGTGACAGCATGCGAAAGTGTATGGACTCCGCCGCCCATCGTGTGCTGTCGGCGGCTGTGCAGGCGAGAACAAGCTACCCAGCAAAATTCTCGGCGGAGTATGAGACTGAAGAGGCATGAGAAGCCGCTGCGGCGCAACATTCCTTCAACAACAAAACGTATCTGCTCAACATCGCGGATGTAAACGAAGCCGAGATTATGATCCGGCCAAACAGCTTGCAACTAAAAATCTGCGATGCAGTAGCTTGCAGTTTGTATTCCTGGCAGAGCCAGCTGTGCAGCGATACGTTTCGACTTAGGTTCGGCAGGGACGATGGCTTCGCAGCTGCAGAAGCGACTCGGCCCATACCCAGGTTCCACGACGAAGATGGCCTCCAGGCAGACAGCGTTTCTCTTCATTTGTGCAAGCATTGGACGATCTTTGATCCGCAGTGGCCTTCATCGTCCCCTTCATGCATCATCGGCGGAGCCTGTGCTTCTGGTGACGTGGTCTTCAGCAGCTTCCTGAGACGCTCAAACATGCGTTTGCTATACCCTGGGTGCAGCTCCTGGCTATCTGAGGTGCTCGAGCCAAACTGCAGAAAGTGTCGAGCAGCTGCTTTTTTGGGTGTGGCATGCCCGAGATGTCACGGGACGTTGAGTCTCAATCCAGCTGTTGGCTCAATGGCCCGGACAAGCCTAACCATTGTCGCAAAAAGGCTGTGAGATCTGGCGGGATTTGTATGATATGGGGTTATCTATCTTCACTGGGATGAACCTGAACCTTGTGTGCCAGGCATCGCGTCGGCGAACACTTGCGAGCAACTTAGGACTTAAGGGTTGGGAAGACGCAGACACCAACAGAACGGAGCCGCTTTGTGTTTGCTTTAGGCGATCGCGGTGGCTGTGCTGGGATCTGCTGGCTCCTCAGCTTCGGGCAAGCAGGTCGACATGGCAGATTGCAGATAGACCTCACTGCTTTCAGGCTGCACTGACTTTCATCGTTCCTAGTGGCGCACACGAACACCAGGCCCTGCAAGTTCTGATTTGGTGGCAACAGGGTGGAAGTGATGTGGTGTCTTTGTTGTCAGGATAGGGCATCGCGAAGAAGTTGCGGCCCTTTCCCGACTGTGATTCAGCACCTCAAATCCGTGCAGCCTTGAGGTCTCCTTGGTGCGGTCGTGGCTTCACCTTTGGTCCTGGGTGTGGTTGCTCGGCTCCATGCGAATGGCAGAAGGTCCTAGCGTCATGAATGCTGCAAGGCTCCGGCAGTTCTGGCCGCAGACAAGACCCCAGGACAGCTGGAGGCAAGCACGCCCTGAAACGACATCTAGACAACTTGCAGTTGTGCTTTCATTGTGAAGTGGCGGCTTAAACGAACGCCTCCGGTTTTGTGTTGCAGGCCTATGGCTTGAACGGCAAGAGGGCCAAGGATGTCAACGGCGTGCCGCTGAGCTCTGGCAGCCAGGTCTATGTTCGCAGTCGAGACCTCGCCGACAGCATGTGTTTCTCTGATGCCCAGGTCTTTGGAGCGTGTTCCCAGATAAAAAGGTTATTGACCCGGTCGTTCTGCATAGTGTCGTTTGGCATGATGAGAATGTCGTTCGGCAGGTGAACGGGAGAGCGGTTTACAAGAAGGAGTGATTGTGTGTCGACGCAGCGCGCCTTCGCACGGCGTGGGTTACTGTCAGAAGCTAGGACGATGCCGACATTTACTTGACTTATAGTGACTGTCAACAGTTCCAGTCTTCCTGGCGTGTTGTTTCAGGCCGCTTGGTGTGGTGGTTTGGGAGATGTTGCCGCCGGGAAGATGTATCGGTGGTAGAAGCGCAGAGCAGCCAGGATGGTCAAGAAGCCAACGGGAGAGTGCGAGGGCTTTGCGTTGGAGCTGGGCACCAAGCTCTTTGCAACATTGCATAGGGTTGCACTCCGACGTTGCTTCTTGTGAGAGGTACAAGGGCGTGTGGGAAGTGGATGGCCAGGTGTGATTGAGTGCACTTAGCTGCAAGACGCGTTTCAGCCCTGACGACAGGACACCCGAATGAAGGTGAAGCCGTACCAGTCTAAGGAAGATAGAAAGAAGGCGCAGCAGTCAGTGCCTTGGGAAGCTTGCAGTCTATTTACCCGGGTGAAAACATCCTGAGCGGACTGCTCGTCAGGAAAGGTGGGGAACAGTGAGCAGCTGAGGGCATGGGCGTGTTGCCTTGGTGTTATGCGCACCCAACAGCTGGTTCTGAGGCCGAGCGGCGGTGGTGGGTTCTTCCAGCTGGGAAAGATTGAGCCAATCATCCCAAAGCAGGTGGCCACGTCGGTTTTCGTCGCCATTTTCGATGCTGCAGAGTGCAGTTGCGCAGCTTTGGGCAGGAGTCTGATGACGAAGTTCTGTTGAACGGTCAGGATGCGGGGCCTTGAGACGAACATCCTTTCACAAGGTGTTGCTGACCAGAGTTACTACCAGCAATCAGGTCAATGAGTATGTCAGAAGGAAGGGCAGCACTGCGAGGGCCTGATTGCATTGGAATGATGGTGAACACAGATCTTCCACACGCCCAGGGCATGATGGGCATGCAAGACTATCTGACCAACATGATGACCCTGGAGGAAGAGGAGCCAGGGCCTGTGATCCTCCTGAGATGCAAGACTGAGGAGTTGCCGTGTCATGGCTGTCATGGGGTTCCTGCCGAGGTCCAAGATCGCCGACAGCCTGGAAGCAAGGTTGGATGCGAAGCTCAAAGACCGAGACATCAGCAAGGTCAAGCCGCGATGATCCTTTTGTTTAGCATAGCAGAGATCCCTTGATGAGACAGGGCTTTCAAGAGCGAGTGCTCCACCTTTTATCATGCTGCTACTGTCTAGCTTGTCAGCAAAAGTTGCTACATAGGATACATCTGGCTAAACGCGAATCCAGCTTGATTTGAGCACTCAGCTCACTCTCGCAAAGGGGTTCCTTTTTCATTCGGCAGCAGGGCTGCCTGCACTCGGAGAAAGGCGCACAAGGCCTTCCCTGCAACCGCCGGGCGAGAACCAGCGGTGGCATGGTAGAAAAGCCGATCTCAACCATGGACGAGGTATTCAAAGCTGCATGTCAAGCCCTTGGTGCAAGCACATACAGTTGCTATGCGTAGCAGGAAGCCGTCGTGCTCAAGCAGCATGCATTGCTGATGGCCATTGAATCCCGAAGATGGTCTTGCTCCATCAATCATTCTCCCCCAGCCGTCGGAGACAAACAGCCATAACGTAACTGCGACACGGAATCTATCATTTTGCATCATCTTCTGATAGACTTAACTGCTGCTGCTGCTGCTGGCATGGTGCTCCAGGGCCTTTAGAGGCACGAGACGTGTGTGCTTCCCGTGTAGGGGCGTGACAATCAGTAAGAACAGTGTCCGATGCTTGCCACAAGTGCCCGTGGGAGATGGTCATGTGAGTGAAGCTTTCGCAATTCAGGGTCAAGACAGCCTGGTCATGGCAGAAGCGGCGACAGGAGAGGCTGCTGTGCCGGAGGTGCGCAGCAACGGTTGGCAGGTCGTGGTGGTTGTTGCCTGCTAATTACTGGTAGTACGAGATGCGACCTGAGAGCAAAGCCCACGGTAGCAGAGACCTTTTCTTGTGGCTTCGATGCGTCAGCCGTATCGTCGGCTTCTCTGGCTGTTGTGGTTTGACTTCCATTTTTCTTGGTCTTGCGACTTCGCGAGTCCGCGTATGCCGTGTAACGTTGGACAAACACTTGAAGCGGCATTGCAATGGCAGCGTGATACCGTGAGACAGGCATCGACACAAAGGAACATCCCGAAGTTGCATGGTTGATCGTGGTCTGAAACGGTACACATATACACACGCACACACAAACTCTAGACTCTACTCTAGACTCACAAGACACTGAACTGCACGACACTTGGGGAACTTCTCGCAAGGACTCTGGCGATGAGTTCCAAGAAGACGCAGATGAGCAGGGATTAGAGGATGAAGATCTCGAGGACCGGAATCCCACCTGCTCACAGCGCACAGCGGAGCCCAGCTGCAGGAAGAGGAGCCAGAAGATGACGAGGCCCGCCTACTGGCAGTATTGTTGGGCATCTCGTACGGAAAGGGCTTCGGCCAACTCAGGAGATCGCACCAGGTCATCTAAGCTCACCCGGCCAAGGCGTAAGTGCTACAGATGATGCAGTGTGCAACCTGCCGGGTGCAGAAACGTGCGTGGCTCACCTGCGCATTGCAAGGCGGAGGAGCCTCGAAGGACGGTGCTTCAAGCATTGCCATGCCCGCAAGCGGAAAATCAAACAGAGCTGTTCTGAAAAGAACGACACCCTGGATATGTTGGCTGACATGTCGGAGCTTTCAGGTGGGAAAGGCTGCGTTTCTCAGCAACACGACTTCGTGTATTCATGCCATTCGCCGTGCAGCACCGTGCAGGGTTCGGTGCCTCCGGTAAGAGTGCAAGCTGGGACCACGGATCGTTTGTTGTAGCCGAGTGCGAGTATTGGGTGCATGTTGCCCAGGCGCTTCACATAGCCGCAGAGCCGGGCCCCAGGATGTGCGAAAGGGCTGCGCGAGGGTGGGTCCTTAGCACAGCAGCTTTGCATCTGTGTGCCGGCCAGTCCCTCGTCGGCTCCCTTGGGCTTTGTACACGCATGGCACGACGAAAGAGTTGCACGACAGGGATTCGCCCAGGCAGAGAAGACACACGAGCCCCCGCTGGTTCGATTGAATTGCCATGGAAAGCTTATGTCCCTGTGTTCGTTTATGCCGGCCCCATGTGTTGTCAGAAACGTGGATGCAAGCAGAAAATCCTGGGCTGTGATTGTTCCAGGCACACCGTTGAACATGTGAATGGCTTGTGCCATCGAAGGTACCTGCCTCCTTCCCAAAGCACTGGCAGATTCGTATTTCCTCGCTTCGGCAACATTCGCTCGACGAAAGATGCAAGTTCACTGGAGGCGTCAGGGCGGGAATTCTCAAGCTTCACCGCCCTGCAACCTTGGCAGGAGCACTGGTGGGAGCTGTGCTTGCTGTTGCTGTCGGGCCGTGCAGAAGCACGGCCAAGTGGAGGTGCGGAAGTCAGTCACGCCTCCCAGTGATCCCGCGTGTCGCAGAGGCGTCGACCAGCAGCAGCCCTGAGTTTGATCATCAGATGTGTTAGGGCGAGCCTTGCGTTGTGCTAGTCAACCTGAGGATTTGAAGTCCGTCTTGCCAGCCGCAGCCTTTGATGCAGATGATGCTGGGACCTCGTGCACTCCGGCCATTGTTCCGTGCCTGGATTTTATGTCTTTACGAAGCAGGTCGTTGTGGTGTATGATCGGAACTCAAAACAAGCGGGAGAAGCTCCAGCCTCAACAGTGTGCATCACGCTTGGCTGCGACCATGTGGGCCAACTGTCTAGGTTGTGGTTGCGGTCGAGCAGGCTTGTAAGTTGGCTTTTCCAGTCGGCAACAAGGCAACCTCACAAACTCGCATCGCTTGTGAAAGCAGGACAGTGCAATGGCTCCCCGCCCTGTGTCCTATGCCATCGTGCCGTCGAGCGCTGCCTTCTCAGAAGAGCGCCCATGCCTTCTCGTTTGGCCGCCACGCGTAAGACAGGACAGCGCGGCTCTGCTCGAGCTGGCGAGGCCCGGCAGGCTTATCGATCGTTCTTGAGCCAGAAGCTGCAGCTCCAAAAGGCAGCGGAACCTCAATGATGACTGCGTTGAGCGACTTCGACGGGATGCTTGTGCTTGTGCGGTGCTGCCTGGCGGGGCCATGATTGAGGACCAAAGCCTTCCGGCTTCCAGATGCTGAGCCACTGTTCGTTTCTCTTTGGACCATCGCAGCCCCTGTTTCATGTTCGAGTATTTGAGGCTCTTGAATATTTTAGGAGGGAGCTGGGCCCCCCGGGCTCTCACGTGGCCCCTAAAGGCCGCCGCAAGCGCTTTGTGCCGAGGCGGCCGAGGCTCAGATGGAACGGCAGGATGAAGATGCCGACTCGGCTGCAGAAGGTCGAAGACGATGACGGGTCCACCACGGCTTCAAACCGTGGCCCGTGTTGAGCCCGCGCACCGGAGCACTGCAAAGCTTCGAAGCATTGGGACGAAGCGGTTGGGCGCGCCGACATGATGGCCGAGCATGAACAGCACATGCACTGGACAATCTAGATCGCAAGTGTTGCAACACACAGTGTGTGGTCGCCGAAGTGCAGCAAGTTGAGAAGCCTGCCGTGCCATGCACCAGTCCATGACGCGCCTTTTATGGTAGCACACGGTCTGGAGAAAAAGAAGGTGCTTGACAAGGACATACGGCTGAGAATATTGGTTTTGTTGCCCTGCAGCCAAGCTGCAACTCCAAATGCTCCACACAACGTAAAGCTGCTGGAGCAAAACTTGGCTGACGGGCTCCTTGCGGAGCTGGAATTTTTGGACCAATTCTCGCCAGTGATTCTCTCGGGATTGCGGAGAGTTGATCCAACCGAGATATGTTGCGGGGCATTCCAACGAGCAAGAGTGTTCACGAACGGTTCAGGTTGCAGCTTCAGACGTCTTTGCTGTTTGCTATGGTACGGCGGATGAAGCAAATCTGCCATCGATTTATGCGAAAGCAACCATGAAGAGTACGAGGATAGACGTGGCCCGACGTGGCCTGGCATAAAGTGTCTTATGCTGCGCCGTCTGCACCCTGAGAGGAGCACGGTGTTCGTGTCCTGGCAATGGCATTTACACGGCCAAAACGCAGAATCCGTGGTATTCCTTCGGAGTTTGTCGCGCGACAAGGAGGATGTTGGTCTGTGGAGTGTTGGACGATGCCGCAGCGCTCGCCAAGCCACGCCTCCTGGGGAACCATTATGTTACGACAGAGACGCAGAAGATTCGTCTCATGGCAGCTTTTGCCCCCAATCCAGCGCTTCATGTCAGGTCACGTCGGAGATGCCATCTTGTTTTCGATGGAAAGTCGCTTCATTCCACTCTTCAAATCCTGGGATCCAGGACTTGGTGCCACGAATGCCCTTCTTGTACGTGCAAGACCTGCGAATCCACCTGAGCTAGTGGCACAACATGGCACAACCCAACCTGTTGCGGCACTTGCAGAGACGAGGGAACTAATAGGGTCATGATGAGGATCTTTTTGGATATGCAATCTGCGTGGATGTCCTTAGGAGGGTCTACAATGGTGCGCCAAAGACCCCACTCCGGACTTGGCTCGGATCGCTGTTGCAGATACATGTGAAGCGAAGTGCCTGAAGCCTGAAATGAAGTGCGGCAGGTTAGGCATGAGGGTATGTTCACTGCAGCTACTCCTGAAAAAGATGTGGCAGACATTGGCAGACCGAAAGCCGGGAGCGAAGGTATCGTGCAGCAAGGGAGGAACGGGTTATCGCCTTTCTTCACCGGCATGTTTCACGGGTCTCTGCAGGCAGGAAAGGGTTACGATGCGTGGCAAGCTGTGGAACTAGTAAGGACCTTTGTATGCCATTCAGATTCAAGATGAGGGTGATGTCACTCGAGCAGGCCCAGGAGTTCCAGCAAGTGCAGCATCAAGATCGCTGTCTCACCGGTCTTGATACGGTTGATTTCCGATGTCTCAGCTCTGTTAGTTCTTCCTTTTCCGATCTGCTGAACCACAGCAAGATCAAGGTGAGTAAATGCACACAGGGCAAGAAAATTGTGAAGTTGTTACAGCAGGATTTCCCAACTGCGTGGTCTGCAGGTTGTGATTTTCTACGCCTCGCATAGCGGTGCCAATACGATGCTCGACATGCGTGTACAGTGTACGGGGCTTGAGGGCCGCTGTCATAACTTTTGAAGGACAGGTTGTTCTCGACCCGCACACGCGCCCAAGGCAGCACAGTGTCACAGTGTGTTTCCTCAGTGTTGTAGGGTCCAGGGTCTTCTTGCGTCTGCTACATGGCTGGGGAGGCTTGTCCTAGGTCTTACTTACGCTGCTGAAAGTTTCAAGCGGCAAGTTGAATTGAGAGTTGCGTGACGGCAGATGCATCCGAAGGACCTGGAGATGGATCCCTGGCCCTTACTGCGGGAGCTTCGCTACAGAACCTGCGCCTCGTCGACTAGGATGAAGACTTCCCGGTCCCAAACTGCTGGGGGGAGAGTATGCTAGACGGGCTTGCAGAGCGGGACAGGTCTTGAGCACCCCAGCAAAGACGACATCGAAGCATTGGAAGAGACATATTTCCGCCCTCTTAGGCGGCATCGGGTGGGTTGAACCATGATTTCGACACATTTAGCCTGCACCTGCGCAGATCCTTGAAAGCCGAATGGTGGAAGCAGCCAGAGGCATGCTGCTGTGCTGCTTGTTGTTGGATGAAGCAGCTGTGCCTGCTGCAGGCTTTGAAATCCCTGGCCCAGCAACTGGACGAGGTCCGCTGCCTCTTGATCAGTGCCCAAAATGGCAGGCCAATGGAGCAGAACTTTTGTGGCAGATGTAGGCGATGAGGGGCGTGGTGAAGACGTGACCTCGATTGTTGGTTCGGCACCTAAGGTTGGCTTCGTCTTGATTGACGACTTTTTGCCGGACGAGGTGATCAGGCGAGTCAAGGCACGGCTGTTGTCCTGGTTAATTGCTTGCCTGGTCCAGCGACGGACAAAGCCAGGCAAGCAACTTGGACCTGTACCAGAACTCTGAGATGCAACTGGGGTCTACAACAGGTGGTGTTCCGCTCAGTTTCTCTTGCATGCGGTGCGTGGCATCAGCTTCTGGAGATGTCGGGAGATCTCTTCACGTTGGTGTCTTAGAGTTCCTTTCGTTGGCGTTCTTGAAGTACCGCGGCAGTACGGTTAATGCGAGGAGTAGGGTGTCGTCGGCACTACAAGTCGTAGACTGGGTATGCGGCAGACGAGAGTGTAATCCCATCTGTGAGGAGAAGTTTATCCAAATCAGTGAAGATAAATGAGAGCACGAAAGAGGCATGGTCAGAGCGGACATGACGTATTCCCGATTTAAACCGGTAGTGTGTCGTTCAATGGTGGCCTGAAGAATCTAGTCAGCTTGCGGGAACATCGAAACTTTTGAGAGCTGCGGTCATGGCGGTGTGGCCACTGGAGTCGAAAGCTTTGTTCCAGTCTCTGAGGCTTACTCGTAGATGGTGTGCACTCCACAAGGCAATCAATTGAACCGTGTCTTTCTTTTCAGGTACAGTGGATACTTTGGTGTTTCTTGTTTCGTTCGTCAACTGAGTCTTTGTTATTTCCTCTTTGGAGAAAACCCGTCAGCCTCAAACAACGAGGCCAAAGAAACCCGGGAGCGGAACTACAGCGGAAACAGAGCTACCCACCCTACTCTTCGCCCAAAACAGGGAATCTTTGGCATTAAAAGTTTGAAAGCCATGCGCCATCACTGCAATCTGTTCAGACCGCGGTGTGATCGATGAAAGCACAGCCTATGCCACCAACGAGCGAACCCGCCACTCCATCTCTGCCTCACGGTAAAACTTGCGACACACACTTGTCCAGGTTGTAGCAGTGTCACGAGCTCAGGAAGCACGCGAGAAAGTAGAACAGCAAAAGTAGTAGTAGTAGTAGTAGTAGTAGTAGTAAGTAGTAGTAAGTAGTAGTAAGTAGTCTAAGTAGTAGTAGTAGTAGTAGTAGTAGTCGTGGTGGTGGTGGTGGTGGTGGTGGTGGTTGTCAAGCCATGCTAGTGGTAGGAGTAGTAGTAGGCTATGCTGCTGCTGCTGCTGCTGCTGCTGCTGCTGCTGCTGCTGCTACTACCACTACCACTGCCACCATCACCACCACCACCACCACCACGACTACTACTACTACTACTACTACTACTAAAGAAACACTACCACCACCTTGGCAATGCTGTCTCTCCTGGAGGACATGAAGGAGAGCATCGATAACAGCCTACAGGAGAGTCAGGCAAAGAATGCGGGCACCTTGGCAGCAGC